ATTATTATTATTATTATTATTATTATTATTATTATTATTATTATTATTATTATTATTAGTTCTTGTTGTTGTTGTTTGATTTGGTCATGTCTCCACACAACCCTACTCCAATATTTCACTGTCACATAGATGGGCCGTGCATTCCCAAGGCTGGGCCAAATGCAGTGGTGCCTCGCATTACGACATTAATCTGTTCCAGCGAAATTGCTGTAGAATGAAAACATTGTAAAGCGAAATTAAAAAGTCCACAGAAATGCATTAAAACCTGTTTAATGCATTCCAATGGGCTGGAAACTCACTGTCCAGCGAAGATCCTCCATAGGGCGGCCAGAGAACAGAAAACAGTGGGAGGCCATTTTGAAACCGCTGATCAGCTGTCCGAAAACCATCATTTTGCGAAGAATTGGTTCCCGAAGCAGGGAACAGATCGCAAAGCAAAATTCATCCATAGGAACATCGTGAAGCGATTGCAAAAGTGATTCCAAGTTCATCATAATGCGGTTTCATCATCAAACGGAGTGATCGTAAAGTGAGGCACCACTGTATGCATAAACACTGCCAAATCCTGACAGGCTGGTAAGGCTTTGCATACAGATGGCCACCTGAGTACAAACCTCACTAACGATGAAGAGGTTCATCACCCGAAAACTACTAACTGGCCACAGAACAAGGTATGGAGGAGATGAACCCTTTGCCAGTGGAGGGGTAATTTGCAGGACTGACATCCCGGATCTTCCAGATATAAAGTATATTATTCTTATCACTATTGCTGGCCAAAATCTTACTAGTTAACTTATATGCCAGAGCCATTGTGTAGCATTCTCACCCCTCCAGCAGGCTGTTCTCTACATGATCACTCATGTGATGTGCCTGATTCTGCAACATGCACGGGCCTCGTTGTGTAAAGCAGAGCCTGTCCGAAGGGGAAGGATCACTCACACATTTGCCCTTCCACAAGTGCACAGCATTCTGGCCATTCCTCTTCCACGTGCACCATGTACTTGGCCTCCCTCCCTCTCTTACCCGGAATATGCAGGGCACATCTTTGCTGTTGGCATGTATGACGTCTGAGGCCAGCACCGGGGCCACCGAGAACTGCTCGTCCCTGTTGCCAAGACAAAGGAGGGAGGGGAAGAGGTGTGGAGAGATCTTCCTCTGTGCCTCCCCAGATGGCTGAGGAATTCTGTGAGCTCAGCCGGAAAGAAGGCAGAGCAGGGCCCCCACCCACCCAAATGTTGCCCCTTGAGGCACAGCAATGACCAGCTCTGCCAGTTCACCCAAGCCGCAACGCCCAAAGACAGCCAACCTCTTTCGGCACCCAGGGCAGAACCACCACCATCCACCACCCACATGCCCGCTTCTCATCCTTGGTTCTAAAAATCCAGTGTCAATACCTGTCTGTTTGTAACACCGGCAAAGCTGCTGCCTGATGGGCTTAGAACACCCTGCCTCAATGGTACAGCCGGCCCTGGCCCAGGGGAAAGGTACTCAAGGCGGCCTAGAAGCTCAGGGAGAACCAGCAATGGAGGCAGGGTTCCTGTCATTCAGGGAAGGCAGGGCAGTTTGTAGTGAGGAGGAGTGCAAGAGGCCACCAAAGACTGCATTCCCACGGCAAACACCAACACCTGTCCTTTGCGACCTGGAGGAAAACCTGCACTGTGCAGCAATCCTATTGCATTCACCGTGGAGCAATCCTATTGGATCCTAACTGCTACAGCTCCATTCCCTGGCATCCTTGGCTTTCCAGGCTGAACGTGGCCTTCCAGACCCAGGGGTGCTCAGCTACACCCCTCGTTACCCCAGCCTGCAGAGCCACTGGTTTCTCCCAGCTTGTATAATGGAGATTAGAGCCCAGGGCATCTGGAGGGCTCCCTGCTGAAGGGAGGCTTGTCTAGCGGTGACATGAATTTTCTGCAGCAATCCCAAAAAAGGTTACAAGGCAGGTATTGTGGGGAAAGGCAAGAACGGAGTAGCAGCTGAGCTGTGTTCTGGCTGTTGCTGCTACATATACCCAAGAAAGGAGGGGAAAGGGCACCAAAGAGGGCATTGCACAGGGCCTGCCACCACTGGAAGGATCCAGGAAGGGTATAGACTGTTATGCGACAGAGGTTGATCTCTGGAGGCTGGCCACCCACCCATTCACCCTCAAGTCAGGGCTTTCTGGAGCACACTGTTAGGAAAGGAGGACACAGTGGCCCAGCAAGGTACTGGTAAGCCTTCCAAACATAGTACAGTGTAGTGGTTACAGCACAGGACTAGTGATGTACGGAAGTGAGAGCTGGACCATAAAGAAAGCTGACCACCGAAGAATTGATGCTTTTGAATGGTGGTGCTGGAGGAGGCTCTTGAGAGTCCCCTGGACTGCAAAGAGATCAAACCTATCAATTCTGAAGGAAATTAGCTCTGAGTGCTCACTGGAAGGACAGATCCTGAAGCTTCAATCCTTTGGCCATCTCATGAGAAGAAAAGACTCCCTAGAAAAGCCCCTGATGCTGGGAAAGTGTGATGGCAAGAGGAGAAGGTGACGACAGAGGACGAGATGGCTGGACAGGGTCACCGAAGCGACCAACATGAATCTGACCCAACTCTGGGAGGCAGGGGAAGACAGGAGGGCCTGGCGTGCTCTGGTCCATGGGGTCATGAAGAGTCGAACACAACTTAATGTCTAAACAACAACAACAATACAATCTCACAGTCTTGACATTAATCCAAAACAGTGTTTTGCATGCTGGGTTGGCAGATGATGTGGTTCTGTGCAATCATAGAATCATAGAAGTCAGACATGACTAAACAACTAAACAACAACATTATGGAAAAGCCATATGATATTGCTTCATTGTACCCTACAACTCCCATCAGCCCCGGCGAACAGGTGAGTCCAGCATCAGGAGGGCCATTGGGCCCCTTTTCACAAGGAGTAGACCAGCCAGAAATCAACCCTGAGTGCTCACTGGAAGGACAGATCCTGAAGCTGAGGCTCCAATACTTTGGCCATCTCAAGAGAAGAGAAGAGTCCTTGGAAAAGACCCTGATGTTGGGAAAGTGTGAGGGCAAGAGGAGAAGGGGGACGACAGAGGACGAGATGGATGGACAGGGTCACCGAAGTGACCAACGTGAATTTGACCCAAATCCGGGAGGCCGTGGAAGACAGGAGGGCCTGGCGTGCTCTGGTCCATGGGGTCACGAAGAGTCGGACATGACAACGACTAAACAACAACAAATGATTTACGTAGTTGAACTGGGTTCAAATCCCCATTCAGCTGTGAAATTTGCTAGCTGATTTTGGGCCAGTCATAGTCTTTTAGCTCGGCTTACCTCACATGTTTGTTGTGAGGCGAAACCGGAGACAATGAGAGCCACGTGTTCCTCATTAGTGAAACACAAGATAACAATAAATAATAAACCAATAAAGAAATACCTTAGAAGAGAGGACTGTCCTCTCTCAGTCCTTGAACTAGAGGATCGCCCTCTGTTTGGTCGACTGTCTTAATAGTGCTTCCTTTATGCCAGGGTGGGGCAGCCACATTTTCTCGGGGCCAAATGAATTGTGTTGGAGTGAGACATGAAGAAACAGACAAGCCCTGCCCTTCCCTCTCTCTCTTTCGGTTCCTGGCGTCCTCTTTTCTCTGTGGCACCCCACTTTTTAGAAAGCTGACCAAACTAGGCCAAGGATTTCTGTGAGCCTGTGGCTACCTGTCCCAGCTTGTTATCTTTCCCTGCCTGGCAACCTCTTACCTCATATCTGTGACGTGCATGACGGCCACATCACACTGTGAGGTCTTCCCTTCTGGCACATCAAACAGGAAAATCTTGAAGTTGCTGACAACCGCAAAAGCTCTCTGCCAGCCTTTCTTCACTCCAGAAGGCTTGGGCACCTTTGAGAGGAAGGACGGTGTCACAGCAAAGCCCCCTTAGTTGCAGCCTACATTCAAGGGTTCCCTGCCACAATGCTCTTTTTGCTCAAGGTGCTACAGTGTTGGAAGTAGACCTGGAGGTCATCTAGCCCACCCCTGCTTGGCATGTAAATTC